CCCCCCCTCCACTCCCCCCGCCGCCTGCCCCGCTCCGCACCCTCGCACGCACGCGCGCGCCAGACGCATGGCACCCTCGCACTGCCTTCCCACACCTCCCCTCCCGACATGATGACCGCGGCCGGCGACGGGCCGGACGCCGGCGCCGAGCCGGCGCATCGGAGACCCCGGTCGCCGCCACCGCCGCCACCGCCGGCGCCGGCCTGCACGACGCCGGCGGCGCCCCCCCGGGCGCGGCCCAGCCGGCCGGCGCCTCCCCCCCCGGCCCAGCCGGCCGGCGCCCCATCTCCCCTCCTGGCCCGCGAGGAGGACCTCTTCTCGGAATGGGCCCCGCCGACGGCCGGCCCGGCGGCGGCCCCCGGGTCGGCGGCCGGCGCTCCCCCCTCGGCGGCCGACGACTTCGTCCTGCTGCAGCTCCTCGGGTCCGGGTCCTCCGGGCACGTCTTCCGGGCTCTGCACCGGCCCTCCTCCTGCCTGGTGGCCGTCAAGCTCGTGGGCATGGACTCCTTCTCGGACCCGGGCTCTTCCCTCCCGGCGGCCGGCCTGCCCCCGGCCTACTCGCTGCCGGTGGACTCCATCGGCGGCTTCTCCGACGTCCTGCGCGAGGTGGCCATCCACCGCATGCTCAACCTCCCGCAGGTGGTCCGTCTCCTGGGGGCCTATACCATCTCCGGCCCGGTGGCCTTTTGTACGGACTTCCCCGGCGTGGCCGGCTGCTATGACCGGCCGCTTGCCGTGGAGTACCGCTCGGTCGGCGTGTGTGTCATGCTGGTCATGGAGGATCTCTCCTGCTCCGCGCAAGACCTGGTGCGCTACATGCGCGCACACGTGCCACAGGGCTTGATCCCCTTCTCTCCCCGCCCCTCCCCCCTTCGCTTCACCTGACCGCCCCGCCTCCGGTTTCCCCCTCCCCTCCGGACTTGCTCGCTCCCTGTGCCCGGTCCTGCCTCCTCCTGTAGCTCTCGGCCGGTGGTCCGCTCAAGGAAAGCGACATCGCCGCCATCCTACGCGAGACAGTCATCGGTGCGCGCCTGTTTTGCGGTGTTCCATTTGCCGCCGGCCCGCTCGCCGCTCCCCCGCCCCCTGACCATCCCCCCTGCCCGCCGCGTGCCGCCACAGCCCTCGACTACCTCCACAGCAACCAGATCATCCATCGCGACGTCAAGGGTGCGCACACACCTCCTCCGGCCCGGCCTCGCCGACCCCTCTCGCCAGGCACACTCACCCTCCCCTCGGCACTTGGCCCCCTCCAGCCTCCAACATCCTCCTCTCGGCCGACGGCGCCGTCAAGCTGGCGGACTTCGGCGTGTCGGTGGACCTGGCCGCCTCCGGAGCGCCGCCCCCCGAGGCGGTCCCCAACACCGGGGCGGCGTCGGCCCCGGCGGCCGTGCGCCGCCACCGCCGCCGCGCCGGCTCCTTCGTCGGCACCCCCTACTGGATGTCGCCCGAGGTGGCCCGGCTCAAGTCCTCGCCCGGCACCTACAGCGAAGCAGTGCGTGCCCTTGCGTCCCCCCCCCCCCCCCCCCTCCCCCCCCCCCCCCCCCCCCCCCCCCCCCCCCCCCCCCCCCCCTCCACCTCACCACCCACACGCCCTCACCTCCGCCACGCGACTCGTCGCCCCGCAAAAAAACAACAAACCGGCCGCCGCTGGCCGACCTGGACCCGGCCGCTGCCCTGGCCCTGATCGAGGGCGGCGTGACGGCCGCCGTGTCGGCCGCCGGGCCGCACCACCACCCCGGGCCCGGGGCCGTCGGGTCGCCGGTCCCCGGGGCCGGGGCCATCGGGTCCCCGGCCGCCGGGCCCGGGGGCGTCCCGCCCTCGGCCGCCGCGCACCTGGCCGCCGACATGCACCACCCCTTCGCCGGGCCGGGCTCCATGGGGCTGGGCCCGATGGCCGCCGGCCCGATGGGCCCCGGCAGCGGCGACCCCGCCGACCGGGTCTTCTCCGACCGGTCGCTCGATCTCCCGGCGCAGGCCCTCTCGCCGGCGGTGCGGCTGTCGCGCACCTTCCGCTCCTTCGTGGCCGCCTGCCTGGTCTACCAGTCGGAATGGGTATGCCCCCGCCGGGCCTTCGCACCCCCCCCCCCCCTGCCTGCCTGCCTGCCTGCCCTTTTTCCTCCCCCCCCACACCGCCGGTCCTGACACACCCGCCAAACGCCGGGCCCCGCACAGCGCCCCTCCATGCGCGCGCTCCTCTCGCATCCCTTCCTGAAGCGGGGCCGCCTGCTCGGGCGTTCCAGCCGGCCGCCGCACCCGGTCCCAGCGGACTTGGCGCACCATGCGCCGGCCTTCGGGGCCTCGCTGTCCCGGCCGCCGGCCGGGGTCACCCCCCTGGCCATGGAGCCCCTCTTTTCCGTGCCCTCCGGCAAGCTCGGCCGTCTGGTGCAGCTGCTGGCCCGGCCGGGCCACTCGCTGGCCCTCGGGGAGAGCGCCGCGGCGGCTGCCCGGCCACCGGCCCCGGCGCCCCTGCCGGCCGGCGGCGCCCCTCCACCGGCCGGCCAGGCCGGCGCGGGCCTTCCCCCTGCCGGCGCGGCGCCCTCGCTGGCCAGCGCCTCCACCTCGGCCATGAGCATCATCTCCGAACGCGAGGAGGAGGAGGAGGAGCAGGAGGATGCCCCCAAGGCGGCGGCCCCGGCCGTCGAGGCCCCGGCCCCCGAGCAGGCCCCCCGGTCCGCCGCCAATCTCACCATCCGCTCGACCCTCCTGGAGTCCCCGCCGCCGGGCCTCGCCGACACCGGCCCCAATGGCGATGCCACCCCATCCGCCGGGCACGGCCTGGCCGATGGCCCGCCCCTGTCCATGGCATCCAGCCCCCTGGCCCTCTCATCGCCGGCTCTCATGATCACCAGCACCGCCGCCGGGGCCGGGGCCGCCTCGGCCGTCGATGAGCGGCCCCCCTCGCCCTCGCCCCTGGGCCCGGCCCCGGCCTTCGATGATGCCCTCGCCGGGGGGATACCTCCTCCCTGCGGGGCGGCTGCCGATGCCCCGGGCCCGGCCGAGGCCGATGCATGCCCCGGGGCCGGGCCCCCGCCAGGGGCCGACGTCGGCCCCGGCGGCCCGGGCGCGGGCCTCCTGTCCCCGGCGGCCTCGCTCCCGGGGTTCAGCCTGCTGGCCGACTCGCCGGAGCTCCTGCTCACGGTCGCCCACGAGCTGGCCACCAGCCAGCACGACGGGGGGCCGGCCCACCTGCTGCCCCGCCGGCATCATGCCCCCCCGCCGAGCTTCTATCCCGGCACCTTCCCCTTCGACCATGGGCGGGGCCCGGCCGGGGGCCCGGGGCCCGGCGGCAGTCGCCGCCCCCGCGACGGCCCGCCGGCCGCCACGATGGCTCGCCCGCTGGCGGCCGGGCGGCCGTCGGCCACGGCCGGCGACATCCCCGGCCTGTCGGCCGCCCCGGCGGCAGGGGTGTCCACCAGCCGGGCCCTCTCCTTCGACCTGTGGATGCAGGCCCTCCGGCCGGCCCTCCGGCGTCTGAAGGAGACCGTCAGCTCGCCGCACCTGATGTCCGTCAATGCCATCTACTCGCTCTTCGAGGAGATCTCCCTCCGCGACCCGACCATCATCGGGGCCCTGGTGGAGCTGGTCTTCACGGCGGTCGTCTCGTCGGAGGGCCTGCTGGCGGCCCTGTGGTCGGTGGTGCCGGCCGTCGGGGGGCATGCGCCGGCCGCCGGCGGCCCCGCCGCCGGCCCCGGGCCCCGGGCCCCGGTCCCGGCATCCAGCTCCTTCCCCGAGGCGCTGCTCACCGCGCAGCACATGCACCCGGCCCGGGGCCCGGCCCCCCCCGGCGGTGCCGCATCCCACGGCCCGCACCAGTTCCACACCTATGCCTCGGCCAAGGACGCGCGGTCGACTTTCGGGGCTCGCAGCGGCGGCGGCGGCGGCGGCGGCGGCGCCGGGCGCGCCTTCCTGCGCGCCCCGCACGCCATCCCGGCCGGGCCGCGGACCCCGCAGACTCCCCCCCATGGCCGCCACCCGCACCCGCACCCGTACCACCTGCAGCCGCCGCCGCACTCTCCCTACGCGGTTCACCACCACCCGCACCACCATCCCCACCCGCACCACCCGCACCACCCGCACCACCCGCACCACCTGCACCACCCGCACCACCCGCATGCTCTGCAGTCGTCGCCCATGCACTCGCACCTCGGCGGACCGGCCGGGCCCGGGGCCGGCGCGGGGGCCGGGGCTGCCGCCGCCGGGCGCCACGCCGCCGGCCCGGCCCCCGGCCAGACATCCCCCCACCAGTTTGCCCACGTCTACCGCCGGCGCCAGCAGTCCCTGACGTCCTCTTCGCCCTGGCTGGCCGCCGGGGCCGGGTCTTCCGGCGGGTCTTCCTCCTCGCCGGTGTCCGCGGGCGGGGTGTCCCCGTCGCTGGTGTTGCCGGGCCCGGCCGCGGCCGCGGCCGTCGCCGGGTCCGGCTACAACATGGCCCGGCGCAGTTCGGCCGGGCCCTTCCCGCCGGGGCTCAATCCGTCGGTGACCGCCGCCCTCGGCGGCCTGGCGGGCGGCCACGGCCCGGGGGTGCCGCCCCTGGCGGCCTCGGTCAGCGCCTCGGCCTCGCTGTCGTCGCTGTCGTCGCTGGGGCCGGCCGGCGGCGGCGGCGGCCTCCCCTCCGACAGCCTGCCCCCCCCGGGGCCCGGCCAGCCGGCCGTCCGGTACTGCGGGACCTGGTCGGCTCCGAGCTCGGCGTCCCCCTCGGGGCTGGCCCCGCCGCCGAATGCCGCGGCCCCTGGCCCCGGGCCGGCGATGGTCGGGTGTTTCCCGGGCCCGGGCCCGGGCCCGGGCCCCGGGGCCTGGTCGCGGTCCTGGTCCACGCCGACCCCCTCGCCCTCGGCCTCCAGCTGGCGCCTGGCTCCCTCCCCGATGGCCGGGACCACCGGGGCGGATGGGGCCCCCTCGGCCGGCACCCCGCCCGGGGTCGTGGTCCCGGGGCTGTCGACGTCCGATTTGATCGGCGGGCCCTCGTCGCCCAAGCCCCCGGCCGGGCCGACCACGCCGCCCTCGCCCTCGCGCTCGGCCGACCTGGGCTCCCACTGGCCGGCGGCCGGCAGCCTCGCCGGCGCCCCCTCGGCCGCGGGGCTGATCCCCGGGCTGGCGGCCGGGCCACATCCCGCCGGTGCGGGCTTCCACCCCGGTGTCGGCGGGGGCGGCGGGGGCGGCGGCCTGGGGCCTCCCTCCCCGCGGTCGTCCCTCGCCGCCGATGCGGCGCCCTTCTTTTCGTCGCACCGGCCGCGGCCGCACTCCATCTCCCTGCTGCCGTCGACCACTCCCCCTCGTACGACCTCCGCGCCCTTGCGATCCGGCTCTCTTTGTCGCTCTTTGTCGCTCTTTGTCGCTCTTTGTCTCTCCTTGTCCCTCTTTGTCGCTCTTTGTCCCTCTTTGTCCCTCTTTGTCCCTCTTTGTCCCTCTTTGTCCCTCTTTGTCTCTGTTTATCTCCCCCTCCCCCTCCCCCCCCCCCTCTCTCTTACTCCTCCTCCGTGCATCGCTGACCCCCATCCCCCTCGCGCCGGCATTGCCCCGTGCCCCAGACATCATCCCCTCGGCCGCGCACTTCGCCGGCGGATACTCCCCCTCGGCCACGGTCGCACCGCCCCCGGTCCCGGGCATGGAATGGCACTCGTCTGTGGCGCGCGTGCGCTCCGCCTCGCAGTCCGAGTCGCTGGAGTATGGCACCCCGACCACCGGGCGTGCCGGGCCGGCCCCCGGGCCGCGGTTCCTCACCCTCCGCCGCGAGACGGCCGGTGGCCCGGGCACCGCCTCTTCGTTGGCCTCGTCGCCGCCCTTCCTGCCCCAGTGCGTTGGCCCCTCTTGCCCCTCTCACGGCCCCCCCCCCCCCCCCCCCCCCCCCCCTCTAAACAGGCATCCGACAGTGCGGTGCCCCCCCCCCCCCGCCACTCACGCCTGCCTGCCCATCCCCGGGAATCCGCCTCTTCCTTGCCTGGCCGGCAGAATCTCGCCCCGTGGCGGCTTGCTGCCGGGCAATTCACCCCGATCGCGACCGATTTCGGTGGCCAGCGGCCTGCGCCCCGGCACCGCCACCTCGCCGAGCTCCTCCTCGCCTGGTGGTGCCGCGGCCGGCGGGACCCCCACCCTCGGAGCCGGGCGCTTCAGTTCCCTCTACCGGCCGCGTAGCGTGGATCCGGTGGGCGGCGAGCCGCTGGCCGGCCCGTTGCCCACATCGGCCTCGGCCTCGGCCATCGTCAATGTCGCGGCCCCGGTCCCCACGGCGTGGCCCCCGCCGCCGGCTTCCGCCGCCGCCGCCGCCGCCGCCGCCGGCACGCTCATCACCTGCGACGATGTCGACCAGGCCGACAGTCATGCGGCCGCGCCGCCGGTCGCCGGTCCTCCGACCATGGCCGATACGGGTCCGGATGCCGGCGCCGCCACCCCCCCGGCGGCGCACCCCCGGCGCCAGGCCAACGCCTCGCTCACGCGCGTGGCCAAGCCCCCCCCGCCGCTGAAGATCTTCCCCGGCGACTTCGCCATGGGCCTGCCCCGGTCGCTTTCGTCGCCCGGTCACGATGACAGCCCCTCGCCCATCCCGCCCCCGGGGTCGTCGACCGCCTCCCCGCGCGCCGGGCCACCGGCGGGCCCTCCCCCCTGTGCATTCTGCGAGAGTGTGCGCCTGGCCGGCGCCAGCACCACCCCGGCCGGGTGCGTGGCTTGTGCCGGGGCCGGCCCGGGCCGCGATGCGCCGGCCGCCCCGGCCGCCGCCGACCCGTCGGCCTCCACGGCCCCGGTCCGCCACTACTCCCACCCCCACCACCTGCAGCCGCTCTTCCCGCACTCCTTCCAGGCGCCGGGGCCCGCCGGCGGCACGACCACCTGCCGCGATGTGATGGACTTCCCCCCCGGCGCCGGCGCGGTTGCCATCTCGCCGCTGGTCACCTCGCACCCGCACAACGCCCACCTCCAGCTTCACACCCGCGCGACGACGGCCCTCCGCCCGCCGCCGCCGGCCCACCCGAGGACATAGAGCGCATGCGCGAACATGCGCGCGCGCGCCTCCTCACCCCCCCCTGTATATTATCCCCATGTCTCTCTCTCCCCCCCCCTGATACACATCCTCCCTTGTTTGACTTTGACACCGTTCCCCTGTTGTCGGCATTTGTCCACACGGGCCCGGCGCGTGCACATGCGACCGGCGGCAGGGCAGGGGGAGGGGAAGCACGCAGGAGTGGGCGCGGCCGCCTGTCAGGCCTTGTCATCGGGCGGCGGGCAGGCCTCCACCGGCAAATTCAGCGTGGCCCACAGGTTCAGGCCCCCCTGCAGGGAGATGGCCCGGGTGAAGCCCGCATCGCGGAGGATCTGCGCCCCGGTCAGGGACCGCACGCCAGCCTGGCAGCTGACCACGATGGGCACCTCGCGCGGGGAGATCCCCGGCTCGGCATGGCTGCTGCTCAGGGGGAAGCCCCGCTGGCGGGCGTGCTCCCGCACCAGGTCCAGCATCAGCTGCCGGTCCTGGAGCTGCTCCATGCTCAGCGGCACGGCTCCCGGCAGCCGGAGCGCCTGGCGCGCAGGCATCGGCCGGACGTCCAGCAGCAGGGCCTGCCACGGGCCGTCATTGTGCAGCGCCGCGCGGGCCAGGAGCGGGGTGATCTCCGCCGGGGCCGGCTCCGCAGGCTCCAGCAGCTGGTCCACCGCCGCCAGGCTGAAGTACCGATGCCGGTCGTGGAACTGCAGCAGGGCGTGCTCCAGGGTCGGCAGGCTGGCCGGCTGGCCGGACGGCCCGGCCGCCTGGTCGGCCAGCTCCTCCACCGCGTCGGCGTAGTAGCTCTCCAGGGCGTCGACCGTGCGCGGCACGGCCGCCTCCGTCCACGGGGCCAGGCTCCCGGGCGAGCCGCTTGCCGAGGAGAACCCGGCCGCCGCCGACCGTGCCGTGAGCCCGGCGAGCGAGCGCCCAGCGCGCATGGCAGCCTTCATGCCCGTCGAGCGGGGGGGGGGGGGGGGGGGGGGGGGGGGGGGGGGCGGCGGGGGGCGGGGGGGGAGGGCGGGGAGGCAGGGAGCAGGGGGGGGGAGTGGGGTGGGGGGGGGGGGGGGGGGAGGGGGGGGGGGGGGGGGGGGGGGGGGGGGCGGGGGGGGGGCCGCAGGCACGGCGGGTCTACGAGGTGCCGCACACATGCTCCGGGCTGGTGTCACGGCGCCAGCACAAGTACGTGCAGGCCAGGCGAACCAGGTGCACCAGCTCCGGGTCATGGTGCGCCAGGCGGATGTCCAGCACCGGGCTGTCGATCTCCATGCTGCTGCTGCTGCCGCTGGCAATCGCGGCGGCGGCCGCCTCGGCCGCCGCGTCAACCGGCAAATCGGCCGGCCCGCCGGTGTTGACCACCGTCCCGAAGCAGGACCCCAGGCAATTGGTGGTGTCGAAGCGCGCGAAAAAACCGTGCACCAGGTCACGGCCGACTGGCCCGAGCGCCGCCCCCGGGGGGAGGTAGCATGTCAGCAAGCGGCCGCCACAAGGGGGGACATAGAAGGGCGGCGAAGGGCAAAAGGCGGCAGAGCAGAGAGAGAGAGAGAGAGCGCGCGAGAGAGGCAGAGCAAGGCACAAGGGCGCCAAAGGACGCACGAGCATCCACCAGGCAGTCCAGCACCCGGCGCCGGTCAAGGCGCAGCGCCGTCAGGGCCCGGTGCGACGCGGCACTGGCCGCGCATGAGGCCGACGTGGCGGTGAAGGGCTCGGTCGGGGCCCGGCCCGAGGCGGCCCCCCCACCGGGGGAGCCCTCGTCGTCATCCGGCCCGGCCGCCCCGAAGAGGTTGCCGACCAGGCGCTCCGGGGCCACCACCGGCGACGAGGCGAACCCCCCCGCGTCCGGGCAGCGCGCAGAAGAGCCGCCCCGCCGGACGCCCAGCGCCTGGCGGAAGCCCTGGTCCCCCTCGGCCGAGCCGAAAAGCGCCCGGAGGAAGGCCTGCCGCACGGAGGCCACCGGCTCCAACAGCAGCATCGGCGACACCGGGGCCCACAGGTCCACCAGCAGGGCCCGGCGCAGGGCGGCCACCGGCTCGGGCCCGACCACCCCGAGGCTGGCCAGCAGGCCCGGGTCCGCGGCCAGGCGGATCGCCCGCGCCAGCCCCGTCCACACATGGTCCCGGTGCGAGTAATCCGGCGACTGGAGCAACGAGGCGAACACCCGCCAGTAGAGACGCCCATTGCACCGGCCCGGCGCCGGGGCAAAGGGCTCCTCCTTGTGCCCGGCAAAGCCGGCGCACTTGTCAAAGCGCGGGTCGCACACCGGCCCGGCCCCGGCCCGATCCGGGCCCGGCCACAAGGCCGCCGCCCATGCACCCGGGTCACGCGGCAGCGGCGGGGGCAGCTCGCCGGCCGGGTCCTCGGCCGCCGGGGCGGTCGCCGCGCGCTCCCCCCCGGCCCCGGTGCCCGGCATGCCGCCGGCAAAGAGCAGCGGGATGAAGTGCTCCCGCGCGTGGCCGGCATACCGCAGGATGAGCACCGGCAGCAGCCACTGAACCACGCGCGCCTTGACCGCGGCGATCGGATCGAACAGCAGCAGCCCCAGCCCCAGCTGCAGGAGGGTCAGCTCCGTGCGCCGGAGCAGGCGGAAGGCGTGCTGCGCGGCCGGCGGCATCCCGGCCGGCCGGCACTCCCGGCACTGTTGGTCGCCCTCGTCCGGCGAGGCGCCGGGCGCCGAGTCGGCCCGCACGAAGTCCCGCGGGCTCGGCATCCCGGCCCAGAAGGCCGCCAGGGCCAGTTGGCTAGGGTGCACGCGGCCAAGCGCGAAGGGGTGGCATTCATGCGAGTGGGCGATGGCGCGGAGCAGGGGTCAACAACGAGGAGGGGGACTGGCGGCGGGGAAGGGAGGAGAGGGCAAAGAGAGAGAGAGAGAGAGGAGCGGCGAGGAGGAGGGAGAGACTGAAATAGAAAGAGGGACACGGAGGGGCAGACACAAGGACACAAAGTCACAGCGAAAGGAACACCGGCGCGATACGCACTCAACCAGCACCAGCCGCTGCTCCCAGTCCCAGTACGGCAGCACCGACTTGCCCGGAGCCGGATGCCCGCCATTGGTGGCCCGGGCGGCAAAGAGGCTGAACACCCCGCGATAGGCTCGCTGCACCACGAAGCGCAGAGCCCCTTCCGCGCGGAAGACCCGGCCGACCGCGTCGGCGGCCCCGGCGCCAGGGCCCCCCCCGGGCCCGGCGAAGAGGCTGAACCCCATCAGGGCCAGCCCCTGCAGGGCGGCATTCGAGGTGGCCGTGCTGGAGGTGCCCATCAGATTGCTGGACACATTCTCCGGGCGGGTGACCAGCGGCGGGGGGATGGCCGCATCGCGAGCCATGCTCCCCAGTCGCAGGGGGATCACCACGGCCGGGTCGAAGGCCGTCGTCGACCGGAAGGCCAGGAGCTCCCCGCCGGAGCAACACAGCAGCGGATAGTCCAGGTAGCTGGCCCGCGCGCCGGGGCCCATGGCCCGGGCCACCGCCTGGCACCGGTGACACCCGGCCCGGATGAAGGCCGCCTTCACCGGCAGCAGGAGCTGGTCGAAGGCCGGAGCCAGGGCCCCGGCGAAGCGCCACACCCCGGGCCCGGGGCCCGGGCCCCGGTGGCCGGCCACCAGGGCCAGGATGTGCGCCACCACCGGCAGGCAGGCCGCCAGCACTTGGTTCACATCCGACGAGGGGGTGGCCGCGGTCAGGCGCGTGGCCGCCAGCTCCCCCAGCGTCGGGTGCAAGGAGGGCAGGCGCCCGGCCGGGGCCGAGCCCGTGCTCGCGCCCGGGCCCATGGCCGCCGGCCGCCCGGCAAAGCACTCCCGCAAAAATTGATTCAAGCTGATCAGCGGCGGCGGGTCCCCGGTGCCCGGGCTCGGCCCCGGCAAGACCGCCCCGTGCCACAGAGCCCGGGCCAGCTCCGGCCCGGCCGCATCTCCCCCCGCACACCGGGCCGCCAGCGAGAAGAAGGTCCGCATGTCGCCCGGGGCTCCGCCCGGCAGGGGGCACCGCTCGGCCAGCAGCACCAGCAGCAGCGCCGGGAGGGCCCGCGCCGAGCCCAGCACGGTGGCGCTGTCGCCGGAGTCGCGCGTCGAGACCATCAGCGCCCGCAAGCGCTCCGGCAGGGTCTACATGGTGTGTCCGGGCGCCAGACAGCCCGGGCGTCGGGGGAAGGGGCGGGGGCGGGGGGGGGGGGGGGGGGGGCAACCAAACCCCCAGGCAGGCGAGGCGAGGGCAAAGTCCCCGGCACACGGTCGACGACAAGGAGGTCAGTCCCACCTGGGCGGGGAGGAAGAGCAAAAGGGAAAGAAGGAACAAGGACAAGGCTGCACGCCGGGCGTCAGCCGCCCCTGCCCGCCGCCTCGCCGCCCATGCGGGCACAACACGGCGAGGGGGGCCGCAACCGACGCACATGGCCAAAGAAGGACCCGATCACCGGGCCCAAGGACAGGCTGGCCGCGGCTTGGCGCACGGGCCGGCTGCGCTCGCGATCGAAGGACACCAGCTGCTCCAGCAGCCCGGGGATGATGCGCTCACGCAGGGAGGGGCTCACTGCGCGCCCGGCAGGAGGCCCGGGCAAACGTGTCAGCAGCTCACCGGAACACCGGCATCAAAAGGCAGGCGCGAGGGAGGGGGGAGGGCAACACGCACATGCAGCTGACACGGCCCCGAGCAGGGTGGCCGCCGAGCGCTTTACGCCCCAGATGGGGTCCCCGCAGAGGAGCCGGAAATAGGGGAGCTACCGGTCGGCACACCGCCAGGCGCGAAGGACAGAGGGAGGGAACCGGGCGAAAGCCGGGCGAACACATGTGTGGCGACGTTAGACCATGCCCAGGGGCCACGGCGTGTGGCGGGCGCCGGCGGCGGAGTGCCCCCGGAGGACAGGCAGGGCGGCGGGGGGGGGGGGGGGGGGACCGGGCAACAGCCGCGCAGGCAGACGGCGGCCGGAAGGCGGGGGGGAAAAAAAAAGGACATCGCGCAAGCTTCGCACCAGGAAGTCCTCGAAGAAGCGCGTGCACACGCGCCCGGCCACGGCGGCGATCAGCTCGGCCAGGGCCGCGCGCGACCGGTGCGACCAGCCGGAGGCCGACTTCTGCGGGAAGTCCGCCACCGCCAGCCACTCCTCCTGGGTCAGATGCCGCGATTGGAGCAGGCGCTCGGTCTGCGACAGGGTGGCCTGCGGATCGGCCCCGGCCGCCGGCGGCCGGAGGTGCTGCGACAGGGCCGGGCAGTGGCATGGCGCCCGGGCGTGGGCTTCCAGGTCCTCGTCCGAGGCCACCAGTGCCGGGCCGCGGGCCGGGTCGGCCGTGGCCAGCCCGGGCCCGGTGGCCGTGCCGCCGCCGCCGCCGCCGCCGCTGGCCGATCCGCGGGCCAGCTCCACGCGGAAGATCCCGAGCAGCGGCTGGACCGGGCACGAAAAGGCACACTCATGCAGTGGCCGGCCATAGATGGTCATCTGCGTGGCCAGGAACACCAGCGACCGGAGGGCGCGCTCGCGCAAGAAGGCCCCGCCAGCTGGTTCGGCCGTCGCCAGGTCCCGGCACACGGCACAGCACTCGGCCGCGGTGGCCGGCCCCGGGACCGGGTCGTCGGTTTCCACCGTCCGCCGGGGCAGCAGCCGCGGGATGGCGGCCACGAGAGACTGCGCCGGCAAGGCATCCAGCCAGGGCGCCGGGCGGGGGACCGTGCGCAGGCAGCGAGCGGCGAGACACGCGGCGCATGCCGTTCGCCGGGCCGTGAGGCAGGTGGATGACAGACGCGCAAGAAATGCGCAGCAATGGAAGAAGGAGAGAAACGAGCGAAGAGAGAAGAAACATAGGGGGAGGGAGAAAGATGAGTGCACGCAAGAAGGGCAGCCCCGAAGGAGAGACAGAGAGAGAGGGAGGGAGCACATGCAAGCGCCCGAGCGAGACAGGCCCATGGGCCAGCCATGCCACCGCGTGTCAGTCGAGCGCGCCACGACATGCAAGCAGCGCAATGGAACCGGTCCCATAGACACACACACACACACACACACACACACACACACACGCACCAGCAGAGTGACAGTCACCGACTCCATGCGCGTGTTCCGGCGCGAGTCCGAGCCCCCCGGCCCCGGGCCGATGGCCAGCGACAGGGCGCTCGCCTCGCGCCCCACCGGGAAGGGCGGAATCACAAACGACCCGTCGGCATCATGGTAGGGCCCCGGGGCCGAGCGCTCCCAGTCCGGCACCCCGGGCAGCGGGCACGCCGCCAGGGCGGCCACAAACTCCGGCACAATGACCGTCGTCAGGAGGAAGTCAAAGAGCCCCCGCTGCGCCGGGCCCGGCAGGACCACCAGCCCATCGGCCGAGCCGCCGACCACCGCCGGCGCGCCCGCCGCCGAGGCGGCCCGCTGGACATTCAGGTAAAACCCAGCCACCTCGGACTGGAGGACATCCGCCAGGGCCGAGAAGGCCTGCTGCGCGGCCGGCGCCCCGAGGGCCGGGTCGGCCTCGCGCCCGGCCGCCAGCCGCGTCAGGCACCGGGTCACCGTGCGCACCACCTGCAAGCAGCGCACCCGCCACAGCAGAGCCTCATCCAGCTGCCGGGCTCGATGGCCGCCGCCGCCGCACGACACATCCGCCAGGGGGACCACCACGGCCGGCCACAGCGCCGGGTCGGACACCGCCAGCACCGGGCCCCGCGTGGTCGGCAGGTCCATGGCCGCCAGCGAGCAGGCCAGGAACACCCGCAAGGCGCTGGCCGCCAGCTGCGGCAACGATTGCATGGCAAACACCCGGACCAACTTCTTGGCATCAATCACCAGGGCCCCGGCCAGGCAGGGGAGATACACGCGCAGGAGCTGCCGCGCCAGGCGCCGGCGCCACTGCCGCGCCAGCCGGCCCATCCGCGCCCCGGCCTCCGGGTCGAAGTACGGGTTGCCGGGCCCGGGCCCGGCCGGCACATGCGGTGACCGGTCGCCCGGGGCCGAGCCCGAGCCCGGGGCCGAGCCCGAGGCATCGCCCCCGCCCGAGCCCGAGGCATCGCCCCCGCCCGAGCCCGAGCCCGAGACATCGCCCCCGCCCGAGCCCGAGCCCGAGACATCGCCCCCGCCCGAGCCCGAGCCCGAGGCATCGCCCCCGCCCGGGCCCGAGCCCCCGCAGGCATCACACACCCGGCCGAGGCACCCGCCGGACCCGGCGTCGGCCGCCGGCCCGGCGAGGCTCTGCCGCCATGGGCGCCAGGCACACCCGCCGCACAGGCGCTCGGCCGACAGCAGCAGCGCCGCCCGTTCCAGGGCCGCCACCCGGCTGGCGGCGAACTGGAAAAAACGCCCAGCATTCTTGGCCGCATAGTACCGGTAATCCACCATCTTCGGCTCGAAGCACAATTGGCTGAAGACCAATGCGCTGGTGGTGGTCAGCTCGGCCGGCAGGCGGTCCACCCGCCGGCCGACCAGCGCCGCCACCGCCTCGGTCGGGCCGTCCACCGACAGCCCGGCCCCCGACAGGCCGAACCCGCCGGACCCGCCGGGCCCGCCGGGCCCCGGGAACCCAGCCCCACCGAGGGCCCCGGGCGAGGCGATCTTCGACAGCAGCCCCCCGCCCGGGCGAAGGAGCGACTCCACCCCCGGGCGCCCGTGCGCATCCACCGGCAACTGCAGCAGCCCAAAGAGCAGGTCCGCCCGCGAGCAGAGCCCATCTTCGTCTTCGTGCCCATCCTCGGCCGGGTCCCGGCGGGGGTCCTCCTCCCCGGCCGAGGGCGCGCCCCCGTGTGCCGGCGAGGATGGCGACGCCGCGGCGGCGGCGGCGGCGGCGGCGGCGGCGGCGGCTGCTGCTCCGGCCCCCGCCGCCTCATGGTCCTCGGCACCAGGGCACAGGGACGAGGAGCAGCACGGGCCGGGGCCAGGGCCGCCGGCCACTTCCACCGGGACCGCAGTACGCGGCTCGGCCTCCGTGAAGTAGGGCTGATGCGCCAGCGCCGCCAGGATCACCTGCTCGCACTTGTAATTCTGCCCCTCGAGGCACCGGAACCCGGCGATCGGCCGCGTCACATGCAGGAAGCTCGCCAGCCAAACCAGCTCCGAGGTGGCGGTGAAGCGTCGCCGGCGGAAGGTGCGCCGGGGCCGCACAGCGCCGACCCCCGTACCCCCCGGCCCATGGGGCCCGATCATGGTGGCTGCCAGGCCCGCGCCGAGGGGCCCGGAGCCGCCGCCGGCAGACGCCCCCCTGGTCGGGCCGCTGCCCCGGCGCCGGGGCCCCTCACCCAGGTGCCGGCCATGCAGCGGCCCACCGGCCGCCCGCGGCGACAGGGAGCTCACCCCGAAGCCGAGCTCCGCGCCCAGGTGGCTGGTCCCGGCAAACTGGTCGTCCAAGTCCGACAGGCCGTAGTCCGGCAGGTCGTCCGCATCGGCCACCGGCGTGGCGCCAATGCCATCATCGACATCCACATCGTCGCTGCCATCGTCGTCCTCGTCGTCGGGCCCGGCATGGCCGGCCGGGTCGTGGTCGCTGTCGAAGCCCAGCGACCCATCGGTGCCATCCGTCCGGAAGCCCCCGTCGCTGCCGTCATCCCCGGGCTCGAGGTCGCTGTCGCCCTCGCCGCCGCCGCCGCCGCCATCGGACCCGCTGCCCTCCCAGCAGACAATCCCCCCGGCCGGGGTGGTGTCGTCGCGCAGAGGCGGCGCCCCGGTCTCGAAGCGCGACCGCTCCTCGGCCGCCAGGCGCGCACACCCGCACAGGGTCAGGCTCAGGGCCGCCAGCGGCAGGGCAGCCGCCGCCACCGCCGTCGGCGCATGTGCCCGCGGGCACACCAGCCCCTCGAGGCAGACCGCCAGGCCCGGCGTGCCCGGCGTGCCCGGCATCGCCGCCAGCGAGCCCAGGGCCGGGGCTCGTGTCCGCGGCAGCCGGAAGGTGGTCATCGGTGCGTCTAGCCACACGGCCAGCTGCTCCAGCGGGTGGTCGCCCAGGGCCCCGGGCCCGGTGGCCGGGGCCCGGGCTCCCGGCCCGGCAAAGAAGGCCCCCAGGTCCACCCCCAGGTCGATGGAGGCCGCGTCGCCGGCCAGCCCCAGCCCATGCCCGGCGTCGAGCCGGCCGGAAAGCTGGGCCAGCTCGCGCAGGCCGCGCGCCGTGGCCGATGGCTCATCGAGCCCGGCATCCGCCATGCTCAAGTCATCATCGTCCGACGTGGAGGAGGAAAACCCCCCGGGCGAGGGGGCCTCCTCCGGCCCGAGGTCCAGGAAGTAGGACCCGAGGTCGTCCATCGGGCCGAGGCGACGGGAAGGAGAAGATCAATCCCGCGGCAGGGGAGGAGAGGGGGAGGGGGGGGCCGAGCGAAGGGTGTTGTTCGGTGGGGGAGAAGCAGAGAAAAAGAGAGAGAGAGAGAGAGGTGTGGATGGGCAAAGTGCAGGGGAGTTCTCAGCGGAGAGGGGGATGGAGAAAGGTGCCGGCGACCGGGGGATCAGCCAGCTTATGCGGCTGCGCCTGAAAAGGGGATGCCCCTTCCCCGGGCATGCGCGCGCACATGTTGCCCGGACACAAACGGCGCGCCCGCCCAATCGGGCCGGGGGCCGGGGGGCGGGGGCGGGCGATGCCCAAGTGTCCGGGGGCGGGCGGGCGGGCGGGCGGGCGTGGGGGGGACCTCGCCCGGGAACTAGCACCCCGCCCTTCCCCGCGCCCCAGCCGGCGAGAGCACACCACGGCCGACGGCCCCCGGCCCCCCTCATTTGGCCGCCGCCGGGGGGAGAAGCGAGGGGCGAGGGGCCGGGAGGCAATTGCCCCGGGGAAAAAACAGCTCCATTTATTGCACAGACATGCGCGGGGTCCTGAGTCCCCCCGGGGGAGGGGAGGCCCCGGCCGCCGGCGCCGCCGCTCCCTCGGCAACCGGCGGGGGCGGCCGACTCGCCGGCGCATCGCCCCGGGGCGGCGGGGCAGCCCGGCAGCAGCCAGGCAGCTCTTGGATCCCCCCCCCCCCCGAGGGGCCCCGCCCAGCACGCGCCGGCCCGGCCGGGGGCAGAGGCTAGCTAGGGGCGGCCGGCAGGCGCGGTGCACCGAACCCCAACTGCCAACCCAGTTGGAACAGGCCAGGGGCCTGCGGGGGTGCTGTGGACCGGAGGCCCGCTCGGGCCCGGCGACGCCGGCAGGCCGGCCCTCGATACGTTGGAACCCTGAGCCGTCTCCGGCCCCCCCCCC